TTATTATTATTATTATTATTATTATTATTATTATTATTATTATTATTATAAGAATGAGTAGTGACATGTGTGGTGTGTCCTTGTTGCCCTTCTCTGTCTCTATCCACAACTCCCTCATCTTCTTCTTCTTCTTCTCTATTCCGTAAATCTCTCCTCGCCGTGTGAAGATCTCTCACTCCATACATCTGCCATGTACACAACTCGGCTTTCAATGCGGCGTCTAATGAATAACGGGATTTCATGTTTAAATGCACTTTCTCTTCTAATGCCTGTTGGAGTTCCGTGTTGGCAGCCACACCACCACTGTGTAGATGCGAGATACCGCTTCCATGCACTTGTGCTCTGCGGCGCAGGGAATCCCAGAGATCTTTCAATTGCTCCTTTACACCTGTTGCACGGAAACGTGTGAACACATCTTGTAAACGCCATCTTTCATCATCTTTTTCTATTTGTTCATTTTTATGTTGTTTCTCCTTCTTTATATCGTGATCTTGTTGATATTGAGATTGTGAAGATGATGATGATAATGATGGATATCTCCCAGCACTGTAGAGATCATCCACGGCATTCGGAGCTCTCTGCCGCATCCAAGTGGATTCATCATCTTCTATAGCTTGTAAGAGAGATTCTTCACTGTATTCTATTTCTTCTCTCTTCTGCTGTTGTTGTTGTTGTTGTTGAGATAGTGTTTCCCTTCGAATACAAACAGCCACTAATGAACCGAGTTGTGCGAGTTGTTGTGTGGTCTCCTGCACACGTGTTTGCATCCCGCGTAGATGCTGAAGACCACAACAAAGTCGTCTATAAATATGATGATGGGCGGGTAAACATAATTGAGCATCTAATGTAGAGTGTAAACCGAGTGCGGTGATCTGTTCAGCACGTTGATGTAAGGAAGACTCCAATCGATCCATAGAGAGAGAAATGAGACGTTGTAGAGATAAGAGACGACGAGTGATATCAGACATTCGTACATTAGAGATATAATTAGGTGTTAATTCCTTTTCTTTTCCTTTTTCTACTTCTTCTATGGGTAAGATGCGTTGAATCTGCTCGAGGCGATAGGCAATGTGTTCCTTCTCAGTAAAGGAGGCTGGTGGCCAAGGCACAGCTGCAGGAAAACAGTTTAATAATCTTTCACCAGCAATATCTTCTTTTTCTTTTCCCTCTACTGTTCTTCTCATGGTTGAAGATCCACCAATATTACTATTACTATTACTATTATTACTATTACTATTATTATTACTAGTAATAGTAGTATTAGTAGTATTATAAGGAGGAGATCTTTCTTTTCCTTTTTTATCTGTGGGAGTTCGTTCTTGTTGCGGAATAGGAACCCGTTGAAGGAGAAATGGATATCTCCGCTGCAGCTGCACGTGTTCAGCAATCGTCACGAGTTGATATTCCTTTGTAATCCACAGGAGTGCCAATAGTAATTCATGTATAGATCCACGCAGAAGTGTTTGTGTATATAAGTTATCTCGTGTATATCCCAATTGGGCTAATGTACACAAGACATAATACCATAGTGAAATAGGTGGTGGGGTTTCCAATTGAGTGATAAAGGATGGACTGCCATGATGTCTTCTTCCACACTTTTCTTCTTTTTTTTCTTTTTCTTTTTTTTCTTTTTCTTCTTGTTTACACCACTGTAGTCTTATGGGAACCCAACAGTTCTCTCTATTTGTGGAAAGAGAATTAAAAGAAGTATGAACAGCAGTGGATTTCTCTTGGGTCTCTTTCTTCTCCAATAGTGATTGACAATAAAATACGGCGTTAAAGAGGACCTGCCAGAGACCGTGTCGAATCATTTCATCACTTAATGCGGGTGATTGCAGTGTGTGAAGAGAAGATGGAGAACTATTATTATTATTATTATTATTATTATTTAACCATCGCTGATAATATCCCTCTAGAGAGGCTACAAAATAAAAGAGACTCTCTTCATCATCTTCATCCTTCTTATTATTCTCATCATCTTCACTATAAGAAGCATAAGAAGAAGAAGAGAGAAAAGGTGGTCTATGTGAGGATGACTGCACTTCTCTGTTCACCGCATTCAGCACCATTGGCGGCCGTGCAAAGAAACCAAGTGTTGCCCATATATTTAAGGCCACATACTGTACACAGGAAGTATCATATACAGTAGTAGTAGTTGTTGTTGTTGGTATAGTAGTAGTAGTAGTAGTAGTAGTAATTGGCTTAATACTAGTATGAGTAGTTTTTCTATAAATATTACTATTACTATTAGTATTAGTATTCGTTCGTGGTATAGTGACGTCTGTCTTTTTCTTTCCCACTAGGGATGGTGTATATGGTACAGTATTTCTTTTGGTTGTTTCTCTTATGCCTGTGGGTATGGATGTATGGATATGTCTTTCTTCTTTTTCTTCTTTTTCTTTTTCTTGTTGTTGTTTGTGATCTATGGATACTTCTCTTTCCCGCAGTTGACGTTCATCGGCGAGTTTCTCTGCAAGTCCGCGTATTTCCCGCTCGAACTCCGCGAGTACACCTGTAAACTCATCACCGCAGGAACTCTCCATCTCTATTCACTCTCGTTTATATATATATATATATATATATATATATAGTGATAGTGAGGATTATCTCTATTCTTCCTGTATATTCTTCTCTATCGCTAGTGTTCAGATTACAGAGAGAGAGAGAGAGAAGGGGGGGAAAAGCACACAGTGATTACAGAATAACAATAATAGCAATAATAATAATAATAATAATAATAATAGAAATAACAATAATAATAATAAAAGGAATGGCAATAATAACCATAGTAATAATAAAAATAATAACAATAATCAATGAAAGAAAGGGTTAAAAAAGAAAAAAAAAAAAGAAGGAAGGAATGTATACATTACATGCATAAATGAATGGAAATAAAGGAAGGAAGGAGGGAGGGAAAGAAGTGTAGCGAGTGAAAGGAAAGTAAAAAAAAAAAAAAGAATAGGAATTTAAATAAATAAATAAAAAAATAACACTAAATAATAATAATAATACTAATACTAATCATAATCATAATAATTTTCTTGACTCAACAAGGATGAAGAATCCCTAACAATAATAATAATAATAATAGCACTAATAGTGATTAGATGCGGATGTAAACAGCAAAGATGGGCAAACAATATAATAGAGATGTGATGATTTTCTCTTTTTTTTCTCACTCCGTCATTCTTCAATAGTAAAAAAAAACGAAAAAAAAGGAAAAGATAGTCAGTAGACACGCATACATACATTTACTCATTCATTCATTCATTCATTCATTCATATAAAAATACATTTATATATATATATATATATATATATATATGAAGCCAACATTTAAAACGAAAAGAGGAAAAAAAAAAAAAATTCCCTACTTTCTCTCAGCAATAGTCTGAGATGAAATAGAGAGAGAGAGGGAGAGAAAAGTTGGTAAAAGGAGGGGAGTAGGGAGAAACAAGGCTTGTGATAAATAACAATAGTAATAATAACAACAGATAATAACCTCAATAATAATAACAACAGATAATAATAATAATAATAATAATAATAATAATAATAATAAATGCTGTTGAAATTGTGTTTCGGCATCTACCAGTGCACGGCCTCTTATCTCTAGGCATTTTTTCTTTCTTTCCCTCACCTTATCTCTCTCTTTATATACATATATATATAGAAAGAGAAAGAGAAGATCAAGCGAAAGTGTCCAAAAACAAAAAAAAAGAAAAAAGATATCATTACGAGAAACCAAAGTAAAAGTAACGGGAAATAAATAAAAAAAAAAGAGGGAAAATATTGGGGAAAATAAAAACACATATATACATATACATACATACATATATATATATATATATAGGGATACTCCGGCAATAATAAAGAAACCCCCACCCCCAACACTCAGGAATAGTAATGAAGATAGAGGGAAACGAAAGAAAGTAAAGTAAAAAAACGCAACAGCAAACAAAAGGAAAAAAAAAGCAAAAGCAAAAGCAATAACAGTAATAATAATAATAATAATAATAATAAAGAAAAGCAGTAAATATCCGTAGATGTAATGAATAAGGCAACGGGAAAACACAAAGATCATCCCGATCCAATAAGAGAGAGAGAAAGAGTCATATACATATATAGATAGATAGAAAGACATATAAATAGATAAATAGATAAATGGATTATTACGGTCTAAATAATATTTAGACAGAATGAACGTACATATAAATATAAATAAGAGATTAATATATCCAATACATACACCGTATAATATATATATATATATATATATATAT